TTCATAGTGTGTATAATAGTAAGTCAGATTCACAATGTGAATCTGAACTAATCGAGCTTTTTCACATTGTGAATGTTGAAAATTGAAATATTTACAGTTTAGATTCACAGTGTGAATCTACACTGTTCGAAGTTTTTTTTTTTGTCGGTGTTGTTTATTAATAGAGTACAAAAAATTAATATTTTTGGTATAATTAGTTTTTTTTATAAAAATAAACTTAAATATTGAAAAAACTAACAAAATGAAGTGAGTTTTTTTCGGAAAAAAAAATCGTTTTTTATATATCAATATGGATCTCTATGGAAAGAGGACGAAAAATTGAGAACAACGGTATATTCCGTTTTTTTTGATAAAAAATGTGGCCTAAAAAAATTTTAAATGAAAAAAAGATGTGGGTTTTTTGGTATAATCCGGTGTGTATGCGTCCAATATAAAAGTGTACATCCATTTCCTTGGCCGTTGATCATTATGATTTCCGACGCTCACGATTGGTTCCTTGTTAATTATGGTTCTCTATTGAACCTCATTCTTTATATATATATATTATATATATATATATATCTATATATATAATATATATATATATATATATATATATATATATATATATATAGGACTAGGTTATTTATTTTCTTATATTTATCGTGTGCTAGAATGAAACCAATAGAAATTTAGTAAATTAAATAATTATTTAATTAAATAAATATAAATATTAAATGATTTCCATATTTATATGTATATTAAATGACTAGGTTATAACCCGTGGAATCCACGGGTGATAATTTTAAATAGAATTTAAAAAATAATTATACAATAAAATAAATAAATGGAGATTGAAAGTTAATAAATTAACTAATGTATATAGGTTTATAAAATAAAATTAAAATTTAATAAAGCATGGATGCAAACAGACACAAACTGAAAAAATATAAACTAAACTGGATGTCAATCATATATTATTATTAATTGCATATGATTGAATGTGTGTGTGAGTAAACAGATAGAGATATCGATGATATGCATATGAAAAATAGATGTAGAGATTATTAACCCGATCTTTCTTTATGCAGAGGTCGTGAGTTGAGATTCAGAGGAAAAATCGATGTAGCACTTAGAAATACAAAAATATTGAATTAGTGGACGAATAACAATCTTAGATTTGAATGTTATTTTATTATCTACTGATTAATGTATGTAAGAAATTTCTTAGTTAAATGTATAGTGTTTAACGATTTGCCGTAATCAATTCAAGATTTTTGACTTACAGGTATTGAAGGGATGCCGATTAGAATGTTTTTTTTTTCTTCTGCTCTTGCAATGGACCTGTGAAAGAATGGAAGTGTGAAGAAGAAATCGAGAAAGGTGATAATATTTAACCAAGAAAATCGATAAAATCTTTATAAAATTCCTATTATTACGTTAAATAAGGTTGTGATCGGTTGGAAATAATTAATTACGTTATAATTAATTACGTTATTTAGAGTAAATGTCGATTAATGACTTTCCTTGTTTGATATACATGCAGAAGTAAATAGACAAGTATAAGTTGTGAATATATATTGATCAAAAGAGTATAAAATTTTTTGAATTTTAAAATGGGATCCGATCACCTTATTTAAAGGGAGTTATTGTTTCGGTCAAAGGATATAATAGGAAGTTTTCAAATTAATGCAGGAGCTGTGAAGAGAGGAAATTAAACGGAAGGAAAGGGCAATTTGGGTGTTTCACTTTAATGAAAAAGGCAGGAAAATTCGATCAGGTGGTGCTGAGAGAATGACACGTGGCATTCAATGTACTTATTTATTAGGATAGAATATCCATAACTATAATTCTCTTTTTATGGAAACTAATTAAATCTGTCATTAATATCAGCAATAACATTCTTTCAGAATGATTTTGCATCTAGGTATTTATATATGAGTTTGTATTTTGTTTCAGGACTTACTCACTTAAAATACAATAAAGTTGCATTGAATATGAAAAACGAAAGTGTATTCTACTAGAATACGCTTTTATTCTGCTGGAATACACTCTCATTCTTCTAGATATGAATTCATTCTGAAAGAATATTATTGTTAACATTAATGACAAATTTAATTAGTTTCCATAAAAATAAGTTATAAGTATGGATAACATTTAATGTACATATAATTATTACTAAATTCTTATTGGTGCATTCTAGCACATAATAGATGTGGGAAACATTTGAACCTACCTCTCTCTCTCTCTCTCTCTCTCTCTCTCTCTCTCTCTCTATATATATATATATATATATCTATATATATATTATATATATATATATATATATATATATATATTATTTTTTTTTGCAAGATTACAAATAAAATAAAATTCAATTAGAGTTTAGGGTTCAAGGCATCTTCTAGCGTCCATGGTTTAAAGTTTATGGATGACAAAACTGCACAAATGGTCCATGTGGTTTGCTGAAAATTGTCACTTTGGTCCAAAAAGTTTTGGACTAGCACCACATGTCCAAACTTTTCGTTTTGTTGCGAGTTTGGCCCAATTTACTTTAAAAAAATTTGTAATGACGATTTTACCCTTCTTTTTTGTTTTTTTCAGTTTTTTATTTATTTAAATATTTTCATAATTAAAAGAAAAATAAAAAAGAAAATAATTCTCTCTCTCTCTCTCTCTCTCACACACACACACACAACTCCCTCTCTATTGATTCATCTCCTTTCTTCCTTTCGTCCCTGTTTCACAAACAAAGAATGAAGCACCAGTGGTTTTGACACCGGTGGTGTTGCTGTGGTGACCATCGTGAACATCCACCACCTCTTCGCCTGTCACAGCACCACGACGACCGCCATAAACTCCACCGTACATGACCTCACCACCTCTTCGTCGGTAGGAAAGAAAAACATGAGGCAACAAGTGTAGTGATTTATTTCAGATCCAAAATCAATGGTGGGTTTTCCTTTCTCTTCGAATCAATGGTGGGTTTTCGTTTAGGTAAGGTTTTGTGTGTGGATTTTATTTCAGATCTACCCTTCTCCATCTTCATTTCAAATTTGGAACCAAGAACATACCTACCTTCAACTTTTGGATTTGGGTTTTATTTCAGATCCAAAATCAAGAACGAAGAACACCCATTGTGGATTTGGATTTGGGATGTTGGATGGTGGTGGGTCGCGACAGGGGGAGGCGGAGGAGCTGCCAAGTCAACTGTGGTGGCTCTCTCTGCCGGAGAAGTGAGAAACGAGGGAGATAGACGAGTTGGAGATGAAAGGGAGGTCGAGCAATGAAACATTGGTGCAGGTGGGGAGGCTCGTGGGTTGGTCGAATGCTCGCAGGTTTTGCTCAGTAAACAAAGAAGAGATAGTGGAGGTTGTCTTAAATGGATCTTGATTCTTATTCTTTGCTAGAGGTCTACACGAGAGAGATGGTTGGAGATCGGGTATAGCAGTGACGAGGGGGTGTTTGGGTGATGCTCTTCAACTGGAGGAGGGGAAAAATCGGAGGTCATATGGAAGAGAGCAAACAACAATAGTGGCAGTCGGTGGGGTTTTTCCTCGCCGGTATCTTTGTCGATCGAAGAAGGAGAACAAGGGAAGAAAATATTTTGGGGTTATTTGGTTGCGTTTCTCGACAACCCCATGTATGTTTGGCAGCTCTAGTCAACAGAGGAAGAAGATGAAAGCAATGTTTATTGCTCCCTTTTGACCTTGCCGGAATCAGCAACCACTCTGGAGGTTTCTTTGGCATCTAATCGGAGAAGAAAATAGAGAGAGAGAGAGAGAGAGAGAGAGAGAGAGTTATTTTCTTTTTTATTTTTTTAAATTATGAAAATATTTAAATAAATAAAAAAACTGAAAAAAACAAAAAAGAAGGGTAAAATCGTCATTACAATTTTTTTTAAAGTAAATTAGACCAAACTCGCAACAAAACAAAAAGTTTGGACCTATGGTGCTAGTCCAAAACTTTTTGGACCAAAGTGACAATTTTTAGCAAACCATATGGATTATTTGTGCAGTTTTGTCTTTATGGATTACAATTTAGGAAAAATGACTCTTGAGGGTAATTAACTTTTGCGTTTGTACTCATTTGGTCCCTTTCCTTTTTTTTGTATTCAATATACCATCGAACTTGTTGTTTGCGTTCACCATAACCCTTTTGACCGGCTTTTGACTTGTGATAGTCGGTCAAAGGGTTATGGTGAACACAAACAACAAGTTCGATGGTATATTGAGTACAAAAAAAAGGAAAGGAACCAAATGAGAACGAACTCAACAGTTGGTTACCCTCCTGAATCATGATTGGAAATGTAAATGTAGTCATGAAATGCGCCTGTTTAGTCAACATTCCCCTAATAAATATTCAAGTGCATTACAAAGTTGTACATGTATGAATAATGTTCTTTCGTGGGTTATGTTTTGAAGAGAAGCAATAATGAATCTCATAAAGTCATTAATATCAGTAGGAGATGACGTGGGATTTGCTGTAAATGAGTAAAGGGAAAATGATTCAGAAGGGTAACCAACTGTTGAGTTCGTTTTCATTTGGTCACTTTCCTTTTTTTTGTACTCTATATACCATCGAACTTGTTGTTTGTGTTCACCATAACCCTTTGACCGGCTATCACATGTCAAAAGTCGGTCAAAAGGGTTATGGTGAACGCAAACAACAAGTTCGATAGTATATTGAATACAAAAAAAAAGGTACCAAATGAATACAAACATAAAAGTTAATTACCCTCAAGGTCATTTTCCCTGCAATTTATCATTTAGAGATATCGTTTGGAGTTTATGGATTATGATATACAGTTTACCATTTATAGATTTTAGGATTTAAAAGGGACTTTCAGTTAATAATTTATGGTGTAATGTTTAGGATTTAAAAGGACAAAATCTGATTTTTTATCACAATTGTTTGATAATTTAATATTTTTCGTCATAAAAAGGTAAAAAGATTATTTTAATACCTTTCAAACTTTTAACCAATTTTAGATAAAGAATTTAAATATATAATTTCTCATCTCAGAAAAATATGTTATTACTCTTCCATTCCCACACAAGACAAGCGTTTTTGACATGACAACTACAAATTCCATACGTTCAAAATTACATCACCTAACATAATACTTACTATATTATGGATCAACCAACCTTCAACCTTTTACATAAAGAATTTAAAAGCTACTCCTACCATCTTTTTACTTGCCGGCCATCTCCTTCCCATGGCATCCCTTTTCCACCGTTGATTACCCAGCCGCTAGCCCCCTTTTTTCAGCAGCGGTGGCGTAGGCCTATCACAATAGCCACTGTTAAAATCTCCTCTCACGATGGATGGAGATAAGCTTAAAAAAATATTTTTTTTTAACTTACTACACGTCCACAACAATATAACCCAAAACAAGTGTTTGGATATATATTTTTAAAAGTGCTCAATTTTTGATAAGTTACTCCTTTCAACTTACCAAAAACTCCTTGTGACTTATAACTTCCCATAACTTTAGGAAGCCTTTTTTTGTCGTTTTACCAAACACTAAAACTTATAACATTTTGTTACCATACCGCATAACTTATCTAAACACTGTTTTTAAAAACTCTTTTTTCATATATCACTATAAGCTAATATGTTAAAAAAAACGTTTATCAACTTAAATTAGCACACACCCTCGAAGTTGTTAAGGATGGGTGTTTGAACTTTGAATAATAATATACTCGTACATGACAAAAAGGCATTATGTTTGAACGAAATCAATTAATACTAGACGTGTGGACAAAATAGATAATTACGCGATATAAAATTGCTTTGGAGTTTGTAAGGAGATGGCATCCGGTAAATGGTGGGCTCTGTTTGTTTTAGAATTTATTTTAAACGAATAATCAGGTCACACAAGTTTACAGTATTTTGGTAATTACGTTTCAAAATACCATTATTTGGGTTATTAAAGAAATTAAAAAATAAAAAATAAAATAAAAATATATCCAGACATTCATATGTTGAGAACTTGAGATATTTAAGCCAGCAGCATCAAAAATTTGGCGTCATCAATAAAAAGCTTTTAACTGAGTCACGATTTTTTAAGCCGTAAAGAAAATATATGTCGCAAATTTTAAATAAAAAAATCGAGATTTTGGCCATTACAATTTACAAGTTTTAGTTGTATAGTGTAACTACTATTATCATTATCATTAAAAAAAATACATATTCATACTCCAACCTCCAATCATCAACTACCTTTTCCTCTCCAGTCCACCATAGTCATCCCAAAAATGACTAGGGTAGTATGATTTGTAAAAAAATTATACAAGTAACGAAAATTTTTATATTTTCCTTTATGTTCAAGTAGTTTTTTATTGTAAATGTGTACAATTAAACTTTTTTATCTTTTTTTCATTTCAATATAATATATAAAGAGGATATATTTTGGTGTGGTTAATAGAGAAAAAATGGATTCGAATTCCAACAGAATGGGTAGTAATGGGAATGGAATCTTGAATTCCAAGTCCTTGAGATCATAAACTTAACATACCTCTTTTCAGTAGTCTTCAAAGTGTAAGGCTCCAAATATTAACCTTTCTTCAGCTACAGATACAGATATTCTGCTGCCAATGCCATGCACATCAAAACTCAAAAAAAATGATTTTCCAGAACCCCAATTCTCAACATTTTTTTAAGAAACCATTTGAATACTTACAGCTTATATTCATTTAAAGCAAAATCATGACAAATTTTGTAAAATAAAATTGAGAGAATAGCATTCAACTTTTAGAGTACACTGAAAATTTTTCATATAGCACTCTAATGTCGTTAAAAGATTATAACAATGAAAATCACATTGTTATAACTACATAGTTTTTTGAGTAATATGTTGTAACAGGAAAAACTGAAAGCAAGATGCTATAAGAAAAAAATTACATTGTTGCTTCTTGCATTTTACCACATGTTTCCAAAAAAAGTCAAGCAAATTGCTTTATCTGAAAAGGTTGTTGGAAATTTGTATCCTTTTTTTCTAGGTTCATAAACTCATATGTAGTTTAATCATTTTCTAACTTGTTCATTAGTTTCAAACTAGCTACATTGAAATGATATAATAGAGTGAGAAGAGAAGAAGAAAAAATCTTTATCAAAAAATGAAGATTATGGAAAGATGTGAGAAAAAGAAATAGGAAAGTTGTTAGAAAATTCAAATTTTCTGAATTTGTGGTTTAATTGCAAATAGTTAAGAAAATATTGTTATCTCCTAAAATATTTTCCAAAAAAAGTTAAAAAGCCATCATACTTGTCAGCTTCTGTTTAATTTCATAATAATTTTTTAATGTTGTTAATTTGCATATAGGAAAACATCCAAAACCAAGAATGTAGATTGAGCAAACACTTGAAATAAAATTTTGAAAGCAGATGAGAAACATTTCAACACAACCTACTTCACGGAGTTTAAAAACCAATATCCATTAAAAAAAAGGCAAAAAAAAAAAAAAAGATGTGGTTCAAAGAATGACTTGAAATTAAAAGGATATAGAATATACAGAAATTGAATTCTACAAAGGATTGAGATAAAACAAAAATCATCTGCATTCATGAGAAAGAAAAGGGCAAGCGGATGGAGAGGTAAAAGAGGTTTACAAGTGAAATTCCAGGGTTAAAATAGTATTTTTAAGCATTTTAAACAAAGATGAATGAAGTGTGAGGTGTATGTTCAGAATCGGAATCAATAATTCCAATCCCCAAATTGGGGATTAAGCTGGGGAAATACCTGAAATCCATAAATGAGGTCTCACTCAGGTGCTTCACCTTCTTTGCCTTTGGATAAACTGATTTAATTCACCAGTTGAATTTGAAGGCCAAGCTACAGTGAGACACTTTCATTCTAAACCACAACAAGCATACAGAAAAAGTAGCCAACAAAAGTAAGCCAAATAATAACACCCCATTTGCAATCATAGTTTAAAAAAACAAAGAAAAAAAAAAGGTATACAACCATACGTGCAATTAAAACTAGTTATGAGAGTTAAAGTCAAACAATTTTTAGGAGAATAATTAATAAAAGTGAAAGAGATACTACTACATAGTTTCAAAATAGTAATTGTAACTGAAAATAGGGAAATACAGGTTTAACGATTCTGCTCTTTAAGCAAATGGTTACTTTTTTGCTACAACATAATATTAGAAAGAAAACACTTCATTTGCATGCCGGAACTTGAGAAGAATCAGCAGGAGTCCAAAACAAAAACATGATGGAATGGAATGGAATCTGCACAATAAATATTTGCATTATAAAAAAAAATCTTTATTTCAGAAAACAAGATTCCCAGCTGAAAACTCTTTGCTTTAACTGAAACTGAAAAACCATCATATTCATGACTTTATTACTTGTCCAAAAATTCATATGCAAAAAAAACATTTCTTCAAATATAATAATAGTGTTGCCAAACAAAAGTTTAGATATGCAGGTGTGAAAACCGAAAACACTACGTAGTTATGCTCTTAAATCAAATACAAGTATACACATAAACACACATACATAATCTTCATATATCATGGAAATGTCTTCTCTTTTTTCCATCAAGTGTTATAGATGATTTTAAATAATATTGGAGAAAAGAGGGCAAATTTGTAAAAAGTTAGGCCCCATTAAGTCCATCAAGTCAAAAGGAAATAGCAGCTAACTGCAAGGCATGGGACTTCAATCAAAAGTTACTGCAACAAATGACTGAAATGAGAATTCATCTTTCTTCCCACATGGAGTTACTATGAAAAGCACAAATAGAAGATGATAAAGCAAGTGTTAGTGATTAACAGCAAGTTATTTATAAGATTATCGGTAAACTAAATGCATAAGAAATAAGTCATACAGACTTGCTTGTTAATAGAAAAAAGCAGGTGACTATATGAAATTAAGTCCTACACTTGCGTTTTCAAGGACCATAAATAACTAGAAGAAGACATATCTTTTTTGCCATAAAAAACTAGATTTTTTAAGTTTCATATTTCTTTTTCGAAATTCCTCTATGAAAACCCGTCAAGACAAAAATATTATAAGACGTCAATCAATTGTGGAAAGCTAGAAGAAGACTGCTTAAAAAAACTCAAGAGAATGTAGAAATTTTTAAAAAGACATTAATGCGCAAGAAATTTTGTGTGGCATTCTCTTTTTGGAAGTGACATGTTAAATCAGTAACATTTTGTACAAACACGACAAATTTTAAGTAAACCAGATGATGAAAAGAGAGCAGTTTCTGCGCTCACCTAGTGACCATGGCCCATGTAAGGTGCACCACCTTGTGGCGGCCTGTTGCCTCCTTGACCAAGCTGTGGATTAGGGTAACCACCCTGCATCCCTGGTAGACCACCATAGCTCCCACCTGCCTGGTTTCCATATCCAGGATTGTTCATCGCAGGTGGCATCCCCTGTGGAGGTCCACCAAGTCCTAAAAGATTCCCGAGTCCAGCTCCCTGAGTCGCAAGAAGTGCAGTCAACGCCTGCCCCAAAGCAGGAGTCAATGCCGGAGGAACAGCAGGGTTGTAACCACCCACTGATGGTCCAGAAGGTGCCATCAAATGACCTTGTCCTGCACCACCACCACCGCCACCTGAGTTGTTGTACTTGCCCTTTTTTGAAGGGTAATGATGACCACCACCACCACCACCACCATACTGTTGATGCTGATGCTGGTTGTGATGTTGATGATGGTTGTGATGTTGATGTTGTTGTTGAAAGTAAGGCTTGTTTGGCTTTGGACCATCAACAGCCTTTTGGCAATTCAAATTGTGTCCTTCAAAGACCTTGTGGGGCTCTTCCAGAGCCTTTTTGGCACTTTCCACACTCTTATAGACGAAGAGAGCAAACCCTCTAGGCTTTCCAGTCTGCTTATCTAATCCTAATGGCCCATCCTCAACCTCCCCATATTTGGAAAAGAACTCTAAAAGCTTCTGAGGATCTATCTCCGCAGACACGTTGCTCACGAATATTTTCCTTTGAGTGTACTCTGACACCGGAGGTACGGTTGGTGGAGGAGCTGGGATTGGACCAGCAGAAGCCAACTGACATGAGGTCATGCGGTTACCGATCTTCTTCTGAGGTTCCCTCAAAGCTTTCTGAGCTCCGGCCCTGTGTTTGAAGAGTATAAAGGCATAACCTTTAGATTTTCCGGTGACCTTATCTACCACAGCCTTACAATCTTCGATCTCGCCATACTTGCCAAACTCGCTCGTTAGAATCTCAGCGTTTGTATCCCAACCTAGACCATGCACAAATATCTTCCTGTGGGCAGGGTCCGCATCAGCGATCTTCTGAACGCTTTCAATCAAATCAGGGTGCTTTGCAACGGCCTCCTTGAGCAGTAAGACTAATTGTTCCTTTGAGAACGGCTCAAGAAGGTTCTCTACGGGTTCGTCCTCCAAATCCTCGGTTTCTTCTCCTCCATCGCCGTTGGTTTCGACCTTGACGTCGTTTACGGTGGCTTCTTCTTCGCTTTCTTCTTCTTCGTCATCGTCCTGAGGATCTTCTTCATCCTCTTCTTCTCCTTCTTCTTCTTCTTGTTCATCTTTTACTTTATTCTCCTCCAGATTATGAGCGATTTCGTCAGCTTCTTGCTCTAGCTCCTCCTCTTTAACGACATCATTATTGGCGATAGTTTCCTGTTGCTGTTGTGGTTCAATGATCTGCTCTTGAGGCTCCTCCTTAGGTACTGGTTCTTCCACGGAAGGTTGTGAAGCACGAGACTTTCGCTTCTTGGCCATGGTGGTGGGACGATAAGAATCGGTTGAGGGTTTCTTTCTTTGGGGGTTGAGAGTTGGGTGGTGGCTAGGGTTTCAGAGGTACGAGCCTCACCCGATTGAGGGGATTAGGGTTATAAATTGATTACAGATATAAGGGCACGTGTTTCGTCACCGCATGGTGCATCTATCTCCAATCTTTTAACTTCGGTTTTAAATAAGACCAAAGTATATTCTACATATTCTTTATATTTTTAATGGTTTTCTTTTTGAAAAATAAAAAAATCGTTCTCAAAAAAAATCCCAAAGTTTTATTTTTAAAGGCAGGACTGAACACAAACAATAAAAGTACGGGCCACAACGCAGACAAACAGTAAAACTTTTTTCAAAATAATAAACTTTTTATATAGATTGATATTTTAGTTACAAATTTATACGTATATCTTGTTTATATAATTTTAACTCCTAATCCAAATCAACACATTTATACTTGCGGGGAGGTGGTAAATCCCAAACCACATGCTGAGGCTACGGGTTGAACCAGGAGAAGCATTCACCTAAGGATGGATAAAACACATCCTCACTGCAGGATACCACGTCCAACCTGTCAGGTTCCCTATGACTATGAAGTAAGGTATAGGTTGTTTGACTGCGAATCTTCTTGCTATAAATACCCTGAGTATAGTTCAAAAGGGTGATCTAGGATTTGCTATTACCTATCAAGCTCGAACAGTGGTGAACTACCCAGCTGTCTAATATAAATATACACAGACCTTATTAAGCTTTTATTGAGAACTAATTAAACGAAACACAAGCAATCAACAAACAATTCACAACACTTGATACTTTAGAAAAAAAAATGATAATAGTGATAATCAAAAAACATCAATGTTGCAGGAGGATATGACATCATATTCATACAAGCAACCTTCAAATATAAATTAAAAAACAAATAAAAACCAAAAGTAATCAATAAGGAGAACCCAACAAAAACAATTAATCACCGAGATGTACTTCACTTAAAATTCAAAAGGCGTTACCTCGTCTTCTTCATAACTCATAAAGACAACAGTAAAACACAAGCAAACCAGAGATGGTTGGAGTCTTGGGAGACAAACTTTAACAATAGAGGAGATGTGGTGTATTGGTGTGCTAAAATCCTTTAACAATGTCCGCGGACATCTATTTGATTTATTCCTTTAATTTTCTCCAAGTCAAAGATAACATTCTTTCGGTTAAACTTTTGTTATCTTGTACGTATATCATCGGATCTTATTAGTGTTTATCCTTAACTAATAAGATAATTTATAAAAATTATAGTATTATTAGGCTGAAAAAACGAAGGGGCCATGGCCCCTCTAGGCCCCTTAAGCCTTCCGCCACTGGTTAAAGGGTTATTTGATAGTTCTTAATTGAGTTATAATTAATCGGGTTAGAAGTTGATTAAATTAACGTCTAGTTTTCGTGTTTAACAAAAGATAAAAAAATAGAGAAGAAAGTCAGGAAAGTAAAGAAGAAAAGGAAAGGAAAACAAAATTTTCTTTTGTGTTCCCGAGTTTGAGAGAAATTGAAGGAAAATTAATCATTTTGTTTTTTCTTTCCAAATCGGAATGAAAATTAGGAGGGAAAATGATCATTTCATTTCCCTCCATTTCCTTCTTTTAATGAAACTTGAGAACATCAATTTCTTTTATTTTCTTTTCATTTCCATCAATTTTCTTTCTTTTCTTTCGTTAAGTTAAACTCGTAAACGAGGTGTAAAAGTTTTAACTGAGTTAACTTCTTACTGAAACTTATCGTTTAATTTTACATCTAACTGACTATACAAAATAATTATATTACCTGCAAGCAACATTTTTTATATAATAATTTAGATAATTAATTGATCTAAAAAGATAATAAATAATTAATATATATATATATATATATATATATATATATATATATGAAAACCAAAAACTTTACATTCAATTCCTTTATATTGATTTTTCATGTCATTGTTTTTAGTCATATTTCATTGATCAAATGTTACAAATTAATAATTATGGATTGTTTAATTTATTTGTTACATAATTCTTTTAAGCATTTTGTTGACAATCAAATTCAAATTAAAAGTCCAACTTTTTAGTTAAAGAAACAGAACCAAAGAAATAAATACAATATGCAATTAACACAAGTACTAATAACACCAATTTTGTTTAATCTTTGTATAATCCACCTTCATAATCTTTACCCATATCACATTTTTTTATATTACTTATACTTGAAATCCACTCTACTTTATACCAACTTGGAGGATCCATCACCAATCAAACATCATTCTTCTCAAAATCACCAAACTACATAAAAAAACATTGATTACATTATATTTGTCAACTATTTTTTTTTTAAATTTGGATGAATGAGCAAAAAGATTGTACACATTCTCATTGAAATGAGGGCAATAATGATATTTATGCCAAAGGCAACCCATTGATGGACAAAGAAAGCACACTCCAACCATGAATGGTGCCATGCAACCAACAACATCAACCATACTTAGCTTTGATCTATAAAATATTATTAGAGAAAAACGCCACAATAGATCCAATTTACATGGATGCTTAAGTGTAAATGATTAAGGGATTGTTTCATTTTTACTTAACGAATCACTCCATTCCATGGAGCAAAATAAACATTTATATAAAATGAATTTCATTCCTTCTTAAATTTTATGATACCAAACACTACCTTATCTTAAAGCATTTGATTCGGTAAAATGAGAGAAATGTAGAGATACCTGATAAATTTGGCATGCTGACATTTGTGAATGTGTAACATCATGTTTCGAATTGTTCCTATTTTGATTTTGTAATCAAAGGGCTAAGTATTATCAGGCTTCAGAACCTCGAGGAGTTGGGTTTTGGACCCAGTAGGAGTTAGATAATGTATCTTGGTTGCTCGGGTATTCAGTTGGAGTTTTGGACTATAGGGTATGAATTTATTCTTGTTATTTTAAAGTATTGCAAGGAACTCGACGAGTTGGGAGGCTCCAACTCGTCGAGTAGAAGGCTTTCCAGCCGCGTAGATTGGAGGACCTACTCGACAAGTTGGGGAGCCTCAACTCGACGAGTTGGCGCTGGAAATGAAAACCCTAATCTCTCGGGCATTGTACCCTATTTAAAGGACTTAACTTTTGTCACACCCCCAAACCGGAACGGCGGAATCGTTCGGGTGTGGATGATGTCATGTTTAGTATCACAACCATTGTATAATAGCAATCATAGTAACACAACCCTTACAGTGAATACATATATGAAAAAGGTTTACATCTGTTTAAAATGTGTTTGAATACATCAAAAACGAAAGTGAAATATTAAGACAAGACTCTTGTTGCTCCAGCTTCTAAAAAATCCAGGAGGTGTCTGTCTACTGATTTCCTGAGAATACAAACAGTTTTGAAAGAATATCAACATAAAGTTGGTGAGTTCATAAACGATGTTTTGTAATGAAAACTTGACTTGTAAAAAAAGGTTCGCATGCTTCCAAGAAAATCCAATATTTTCTTTAGTGAAAGTGTGATGTTATCAGTTCTGTCGTTACTGAAATCTGTTGTAGCATGTGAGAAATACTAGTTTGTATGTCTAGTTAATGCCAATCATAGTCAGTATGTATTTTGTATGAAAATCATTGTATAATAGGTTCCGTTTGAAAACCCTGGCTATCACCAGTATGTGTAGTATGTTCTGTTACTTAAAATAAAACCATGAAAGGAAATCCCTCGAATCCTCCAGTTGTAGTGTGTAGTAGTTCTATTAGTGAAAATAAAACTATTGAAGAATGAAAACCCGTAACAAAGGTCAGTTTATACTTATTGTGAGTCGTATAACCATGCTTGATATGACCTAGAGACCTTTACAACGTACTTCAGGCGTTGGTTAAGTGACATTTGTCACCTCAGGCATGCCTGCATAACTGTAGCTAGCAGTTCAGGTGTGGGATTGTCAATCCCGAATAGATCTATTCACAAATCTCACGCTCTCCCTCTAGGAGACTCTGGTTATACTATGATAGGATTTAATCATGTACACCTATGGGTACAGTTTTGAAGTAGGGCCTCACAATGTTGTACAATCTAGTTCACATGTAATTCTGTAGTGATCTACTGTAGTGAAATCCGTCTGTAAACTGTATATAGTGATAATTATACTTAAATAATTATGAAATGTCATGTCTTTGTAGTAATGTATACTATAAACTAAATCTGTCATAGTTTATATGCTTAGCAGTGAATAACTCTGAGTTCGTGAAAACTATGTTTTGAAAACCCCAAACTATACCTATTATAGTTTGCATGTTTAGTGTAGTTGATGTGAGTATTGAATCTGAAAAACTATGCAATATTGGTTGTAAGTTGAAAACGTCCCTTATGCTCGACATAGTACAAAAGGGATAAAATATCTAAATGAAAACCGTTTGTCTGTATCAATTGCATGAGTTTTATACTTGTTAAAAGTCATTTTGTATTAGTTCACAAAAGCATTTATGTTTGGCTTGCATCCCCCCCCCCTTGAAAACGTTTTAAAACCAATAAAAGCGTAGGGGTATGAACTCACCTTGAGTGGGTGGTTTGTACTAGAGAGCGACATGAGATGCCGAGTGTCAAGTGAAGCCTCGAACACAATTTGATCCTATTTAACATGTAATAACACATATAGGAGCCAAATTAGGGTATTTCACTACTAGACATGATAAGAAACCACTCTAGGGACTTGGAAACACTTAAACTAAGTGTTAGAACCATATGGGGTTGAGTGAGGGAGGTGTACGGCCACCCTAAGGGTGTGTATGGCCATGGGTGTGTGGCCCATGAGTGTACGGCCGTACACTCATGATGAGATGTGCCTTTGAGGTGATTCCAAGGTTCATACTAGCATCCATGAAGTGTTCTAGGTCCATGCTTAATTGTAGTGCAAGTTTGAGGCCAATAAAGATCATCAAAGTGGGTTTGCGGCCCCAGGGTGTGTGTGCGGCTGTACATAGGGGTGTGCGGCCGTACACTCTTCATGTTCATGCCCAAAATGTCGACTTTAAGGTGGAACAAGGCTCGGGTCATGTCCAACTAGAAGATAAGGGTCAAACTCTCACTTTGGAGGGCCTTTAAGGAGTGTACGGCCAACCTTATGAAGGTGTGCGGCCGTACTCTCTCCAAGACATGAAAACA